GGATAAATCAAACAAGTGAAGTGCCAAATCCTGGAGCTGAACAGGAGGTTTCATTCAGTACCACAACCTGTGGTGTTGACAGGGTGGATATGGGGGGGTTGTGTTTCTGTTTAGCTGCCAGATGTGCCAGCTGTCCTCAGCGTGTCCCGACAGAAACCCGGACGCATCTCACTCAGAGGAATTCTGTCCGAAGTCCAAAGAGGCCCGGCAGCTCTCATCACGTTGCAGTTTAAAAGCAGAGTTTAGTTTGTTGGGATTTGGGGATCTTTGGGTTTCCTTTGTATGCCCCCCCCCACCAGCACCTGTCCAGTAAAACTGAACAAAACTCCCAATTTCTATATTATATTGTTCATTATATCAAGCGGTATTGATAATAGATGGGTGGATGGATTATAGTCTATATTATAATATATATTATACCATATTATTTAGCATTCTATTAAAGTCTTAGACCACGACCCATTTATTTATGTATGTCCAGGAGGATAGGACATTGTTGGAGGAGTTAATTTAGTTGAAGAACAAATTCTTTTAGTTATACTAGAAAGCTTTGTACCAGCATATTTGGATTTGGATCGTTCAAACTGAGTCTCTGAGCTGTTTCCTCCTCCATCTCTGGCCTCTCCAGAGCTCGTCTCTGTGAGGAGCCTCCAGGAAAAGCTCTCCAGCTTCTTGAAGGACGTCCCAAAGCTCTTCTCTGCTTTTTTGGCTTTGTTCTAGTCCGTTTTAGCTCAGTTTTTGCTTTATATTTGGTCATTTTAGCCTTTATTTCCCTTTTTTGCTGAATTTTTGGTTAATTTTAACCTTCTTTAAAAACTTTTTGCCGAATTCTTTGGTCATTTTAAGCTTTGTTTTTGCTTTTTTGGTGTATTAAAAGACACAAAAGATCAATCCCTCCATCAGAGCTGCTGGTGTTCAGTCCACTTCTGGTTCCTCTGGCAGAGCGATGCTTTCCTCCCTGTTTCCTTCTTTTCTACATGGCCCCCCTTCATGGAGACAGGAATACATCTAGCTCGGTTTTATCTCTATTTTGGTAATTTTAGCACTATTTTACCTCTATTTTGGTCATTCTAGCTCTATCTAAGCTCTTTTTGGTTGTATTTTTGGTCGTTTTAAGCCTTGTTTTTGCTATTTTGGTGTATTAAAAAAACACAAAAGATCCATCCCTCCATCAGAGCTGCTGGGGTTCAGTCCACTTCTGGTTCCTCTGGCAGAGTTCCTCCTGTCGAATTCCTTCATGGCTTCTTCCAGCCCCCTTCATGGAGAGCATTTCTGCTTCAGCCACCAGGAGCTGGTCAGCTGGAGGTCCAGATGCAGCTCTCAGCTCCTGTCCAGCTCTCTGCTGGATCTGATCCTCTTTCTGAAGGACTCTCAGGTCCTCCTCATCTGCTGGATCACAGAGTTTTTCAGGCCCAGCTCTTCTTCTGTCCTCCTCTGGTCCAGTTTCCTCAGATGTTTTCAGGAGTCTGGTGGTTCATCCCTTGAGTTAGGAGTCTCTTTGGCTTCCAGAATGATTCAAAAGTCCGAGTTTATTGTCCAAAACCTAAAAGGCTGTTGCTCAGAGTCACATTAAAAAGGTGAAGAAAGTCTGGCAGCATGCAGGAGAACAGACATCTGGGAGGAGTGGATCAAGACTTTTGCACAAAGCAGCCTCAAAATGGCCGCCGAGCACCCGTAAATAAAAACGCCTCACCGGATCTCAGCACCCGTATGAAGCCCGAATCAAATCAAATCACAAAATGGTCTAAAACAGTTTTTCTCCCTTTGGAGTGTTTTTCTGGGCAGCTGGAGCCAGAACCAGAACCAGAACCAGAACCCTAAAATAGTTTTTTCTCCCTTTGGAGTGTTTTTCTGGACAGCTGGAGCCAGAACCAGAACCAGAACCAGAGCCCTAAAATAGTTTTTTCTCCCTTTGGAGTGTTTTTCTGGGCAGCTGGAGCCAGAACCAGAACCAGAGCCCTAAAATAGTTTTTTCTCCCTTTGGAGTGTTTTTCTGGGCAGCTGGAGCCAGAACCAGAACCAGAACCAGAAGCAGAGCCCTAAAAAAATAGTTTTTTCTCCCTTTGGAGTGTTTTTCTGGGCAACTGGAGCCAGAACCAGAACCAGAACCAGAGGACAGGTGTCCCAGATGAAGCCCCCAAACCCCCTTCTGCCCTGGGGGGGGGGGGGGAATAAAAAATAGACGTCTCTACTCTAATCTACCGGGAATCTGATTCCTCTATGAGGACGAGGGCAGATGTTTGACCCCCTGGAGTGCTACCCGGACTGCCCCCCCCCCTCCGCCTCACACTTGGGCGCCATTGGGGTCTCCGGCTGGGCGGTGTTAGCGGCGTCGAACCCCTTCTCGGCTCTCCCCTCGCCGTTGGGCCTCTCCTCGGCCACCCCGGGCGCCGCGGGGGGGGGCGGGGCCTCGTGCGTGCGCATGTGCTTGGCGAGGTGGTCGTTGCGCATGAAGACGCGCGGGCAGAGCGCGCAGCTGAACTTCTTGGCGCCCGTGTGCGTCTGCAGGTGGCGCTGCAGCTCGTCGGAGCGCGTGAAGCGCTTGCCGCAGAACAGCCAGTTGCAGACGAACGGCCGGTCGCCACTGTGCCAGCGCAGGTGCGCCTTCAGGTGCGAGGTCTTGGCGTAGGCCTTCCCGCAACCCGGGATGTGGCAGTTGTGCATGTGCTTGCGCCGCCCGTCTGGCTCCGCCCCCAACTGCTCGGCGTGGACGCAGTTGGGGCACCGGCACGCCGCCTGGCCGGCGCCGCGGGAAGCAGATCGCCGCGGCGCCCGGGGCCTCGCCGTCGCCGTTGCCATCGCCGTTGCCGAGGCGGTTGCCGGGGGCTCCGGCGGCTCGTCGAGGGAAAAGGCGTCCGGAGGAAGCATGTCGGATCCCATTGGCTCCATTTTGAATCCGTCCGGGGGGAAGACGTGGGAGGAGCAGTGGGGGGGGGCGTGCTGCCCCCCGCAGAGTTGGGGGTCGGAGCCATACGGCCCCATGGGGGACTGAAGCCCCATTGGGCCCCCCTGGGGAAGCCCCGCCCCCACGCCGGCGCCCGGGGGCAGCTCCATCCACCCCCCCGCCTGAACGTCCCGGTGGAGCTCCCACCAGGACGGGAGCCCCATGTCGTCCCCCCCGCCACCCCCCGGGGGGGCCGCGCGCAGCCAGGGCTCGTACGGGTGGGCCATGGGGGGAACGGGAGGGTGGGGGTCGTTGTTTCCTTTACCAGGTGGGGGGGGGGGGGAAATCAGCACATGGTGGGGGGGTCCAGGATGGAGGGAAACCTGTGGGGAAACCAGAAGGAAAGGCTTAGAAACGAGGAGTTATGGTTCTTTTTAACTCATTGGCTGCCAAAGACTTCTATAGACGTCTTTTATGTTTTTAACGAGAGTGTCTGGGGGACGATCTGCTAAAGCTTGTCCGTAAATATGGGCTTCTAGACAGAGTATGTAGTAACAAATTGAGCCTCTAGGGGGCAGTGCCACTTTTGATGGGAGATGAGCATAGACTGTAGGCAAATAAGAAAAAGGGAACGGTTCTATGAGAGAACATGTCGCCGGTGAGACGCAAGTCCAGGAAGAACGGAATAAGGTAGAAACA